GTCGCCCCTGGCTTCAGCGAGCAGTGGTCGCCCCTCCCCGGGTTTCCTCACAACGGGTCACCCTCTCGAAATCAGAGCCTCATGTCGTTGAGGTACCTCGGCCGGGAGGCGTCAGCACCACAGTCGTCGGGGTGCCCTAGGGATACGCCGAGCTCTGCTAGGAAAGGAGTGACCCCCTCACTCCTCCCGCACACATCGCTACTGAGCCTGCCCCTCCCGGAGCTGTCCCCCCCCCATGGCCTCAACAACCGCAAGGGGAGGCACGAGCAATCGTTCTTGGGGACCCAGGAATGCGCAGGGGCTAGTATCTGCTGGGCACCCATTACAGGTGTTAAGGTTAGGTCTATGCAGGCCTGAACATCCGTGCCCCCTGATCTCACGTGCGCTTAGTGAGTTTGGTGGTAGTGCGTCAACCTAACGCCTTGCCGACGGCATATGCACGAGGCTGCGGATTTGAACCCGCAACCTCAGACCACTATGTGCATTTCCAATCGGTGCCCTAACCACTGGGCTTATCCGCCACCGCGCTCGGTGTGTGGGTGGTAGTGCTTCAACCTAACGCCTTGCTGACGGCTTATGCACGAGGCTGCGGATTTGAACCCGCAACCTCAAACCACAATGTGCATTTCCAATCGGTGCCTTAACCACTAGGCCATCCGCCACCCACGCTCTCACAGTTTGTTTGTTTGTTTTTTTTAGAGGTGTCGCGGTTTATGGCCCAGGGAGGATGTCCGCCAGAGGGCTTTCCGCGCCGGGGTCAGCCCTACTGATGGTGCGGAGGGCCCACCCACTACCCAGTGATCTGTCAAGGAGAGAACTCACAATCCTCGCTACCCACCCGGGAGTATCAGCCCAGACCGGCGCTACCAGGCCGCTGCGCCAGGGGTCACCCAACTCCAACTCAGGGCTTCGCCTCCCTGCGGCTCCACGACCGGGAGGCTTTCCACACCACAACCACCGTGGTGCTACAGGGACACGCCAGTCCCTGCTAGGTGAAGGGTGACCCTCTCACTCCTCCCGCACGCTCCAACTGAGCCTGCCCCTCCTGGAGCCACTCCCCCCCCATGGCCTCAACAACCCCAATGCGAGGCACGCGCTCAACCGTTGCGGGGACCCAGGAAGTATGGTTGGGGTATCAGCATCTAGTGGGCACCCTTGCAGGTGGCTCCCCAAGTCTAGAGCTGCATAGCCCTGTGTACTTCCGTACCCTTGGGAGCGCGCGCGCTCAGTTTGTGAGTGGTAGTGCGTCAACCTAACACCGTGTCGGCTGCATATGCACGAGGTTGCGGATTTGAACCCGCAATCTCAGACCACAATGTGCATTTCCAACCGGTGCCCTAACCACTTGGCCATCCGCCACTCACGCTCTCACAATTAAAAAAAAAAAAAAAAAAAAAAAAAGGGTTGTAGAGGTGTCGGGGTTTCTAACCCAGGGAGGAGGTCCGCCAGAGGGTTTCCCGCGCCGGTGTCAGCCCTACTGACGGTGCAGCGGGCCCACCCACTACCTTGTGATCCGTCAAGGAGAGAGCACATAAACCTTGCTACCCACCCGGGAGTATCAGCCCAGACCGGCGCTACCAGGCGGCTGCGCCGGGGTTCACCCAGCTCCCACTCAGGGCTTCACCTCCCTGTGGCTCCACGGCCGGGAGGCTTCCGCACCACAGTCACTGTGGTGCTACAGGGACGCGCCAGGCCCTGCTAGGCGAAGGGTGACCCCCTCACTCCTCCCGCACGCTCCAACTGAGCCTACCCCTCCCGGAGCCACTCCCCCCCAATGGCCTTGACAACCCCAAGGGGAGGCACGCGCTCGACCGTTGCGGGGACCCAGGAAGTACGGTTGGGATATCAGCATCCACTGGGCACCCTTGCAGGTGGCTCTCCAAGTCCAGAGCTGCAGAGCCCTGTGTACTTCCGTACCCCTGGGAGCGCACGCGCTCAGTGTGTGAGTGGTAGTGCGTGAACCTAACGCCGTGCCGGCGGCGTATGCACGAGGTTGCAGATTTGAACCCTCAACCTCAGACCACAATGTGCATTTCCAACCGGTGCCCTAACCACTGGGCCATCCGCCACTCACGCTCTCACAGTTTTTTTTTTTTT